GTGTAAACAATGGAAAAATCCCCTTTCAACTGTTAGAGGCTGGTATCTTCTGTGTTCTACACAAAGGCAGCCAGGTCTTAAGACCCAGGTCCAGGAAATAATCACGTCTTTACTGACCCCCGAGTTTCAACGTCTAAAAATGTACCCTTTGAGACTCTTAGTTAACAGTTTCTATGACATTCATCTTTTACTCCTGATAGGGATAAGTTATAACATGCAATAAAGTCTGTGTTACATGCCATAGGTATACACAGATCTCATGGTATCTGTAGGGAACCAGACCTAATCACCCGTGGGTACCCCGAGTTCAGCGGGACAAAAAAATGAGAAAAAAGATTAAAAAAGAAAGTGGGACCAGGGGGCCATCACTTTATTACTTTGGAGGAGACAGTGAAGGCCCCAAACTCTGATGATCCACACTATTTATTGATTACAATCACTTTGATCTACAGGGTAGGGGTGGAGTGATGGTGGGGAGAGGGTGACGTGATGGTGGAGTGAATCAGTGAGCCAGAGCTGAATCAGTGAGCTGGAACAGGTGTGTCATCCTAAGAATTGATTACAGCGGCAGTTTGGGAGTTTCACAAAACAAGAACATGTGGTTATCTTTAGCTTATTATCTACGTACAGCTGGTGGAACGCGGACCTTACAAGAAGCCTACAAATCTGGCTACATCATAGTGCTACGAAGGGGTTTTAAGTCCTTGAGCACAGTGTTTATGGTAACAGAGCCTGGGTCACCCTGCACTGGAACATGAGGCATGGAGAGGCCTTCCTCCTCAGAGGCCTCCTGCAGCCTTCTGCTGTTTTTTGTTCCTTGTTTATGTGTTACTCATAACCAATTTATGTAGGCACTCTGCAAGTCCTTTCTCCTTTGCTGCTTTTCCCTACAGGTATCTTTTCATATTTTGTTGTAGAGAGAGAGACCAGGAAGATAAAGAATATTTATACATGATGGGATTTAAAGAATGCCAATAAAAGTGCCAGAGCATCCATAGAAGGAAAAGCTTAAGTCTAATGGGCAATATCATAGGGTCATCTGAGCCTAGCAATGAAGAACAGGCCTGGAAATGATTAATGAACACTGTAGGAGGTATGCCAGAAGAATCTCAAGTTTAGAAGGAGGAAGTGGTGCAAATAAAATCACAGAGGTGTGAAAGAATCACAGACCACATTTAAAAAAAGAAAAAAAAAAACAAGTTGTCCAATTTAAAGAAAACAGCACAGGAGAAGCTGAAAAATAAAGTAACCAAATCATATTCAACAGTGTGTGCCTTCTGTAAATCAGAAGAAAAAATAACTGTTTGGGTATTGCATATAAGTATCTCTTTACTAAGACATCCACAAGTTAATGCAAGAAATGTTGTGAAGGGGAAAAAAAAGGCCTGTATATGAAACAGGTCAGATGATTGCATTGTATTTGGAAAAGCCTTCATTCATAAGCCTTCATTCTGGAAAGTTTCATTCAGCTTGAAGTAAGAGACAAGGTGGAAAGCAACAAAGACTGGAAGGTATGAAAACAAGCTTGTGCACTGCCAGAGAGTGAAGACATGTATGTAAATGCCGAAAGGGGTTAAAACAGAGGAAGACTGGATATGTTAGAATAATTGCACCAATTCTGTACATACTCAACCATCCAGTATAATCAGAAGTACAGAAATAGGATTATATCAGGAAAAATCATTTGCAAATGACAGTACGCAAGAAGCATCCTGTCACTTGTATAAATAAGGTTTGTCAGTTTCAAACATTGATTCCTCTGACAGATTATTAAATAAACCAACAAATAATACAATTAAAGACAAAAGGGGACATAATATGTTTAATAGTATATAAAATAGCTATTGGCAAAAATGAAAGTGCAACTCAACTAATTAAATGCAGGTACAATTACCCTAAATCCCCTACTAGATGAAAGAATAGATAATTTTCAGGTCAGAATGGCATTAAGATAAAACCCAGGCCCAACTACACATACCAGAGCCATATTCATAAGCACGATGCCTGACTCTCAGCTTTCCAAACCTAGTTTTTTCTAAAACTAGTGAACAGGAGTGTCAGTGAGTTAGAGAAGTTCTTCCCTATGCTATCATTACATAAATTTATGTAAAACTGCTCTTTGCATGAACTAAATTACTAAAAGAGAAAAATCTCAGAATGCCACAATTAAGAATAAAATTCTAAAAGTACATATACTATAAAATGTTCAATCAATATAAAATGAAAATTAAACATTTTTACATATGTAAATATGTGTTCAACTTTGTAAAAATTTGAGGTTTATGGTGGGGACTTATTTAAACACTGAAAATTAGAAAAGGAAAAATATGTTTATCTGCAGGAACTTGTTCAGCTTTACTGGTATTTAATTTTCAAATTATGCTAACAATAGAATCTACCTATAAACCACTAAAGCATTAATACAATAAACTATCACTAAAGAAGGGAAAAGAAAAGGACACTTTCAAGAATAAAAATAACTCTAAATTGTATAATAATTGTGTAAGAAACAAATTTTCCAACTACTCTACATTGTAGAGGCAATTCTAGAAATGGTAACATCAAGGTAAATTCATAATGCCCGATAATATGCATTTTTACCCAGTACTTATTTTGTTTAATAAATCCCTTAAAATGAATATCAACCGATATATTTCATATATTATATAGAGGTGTATTTCTTTGAAAAAAATTGCCATAAATATAGTAGTATGATTACTTATATGAGGTGGAATATTTTTGGTTTCATAAGCTAAACATTAAAAATGTCCAGTTAATAGTTGCTCTTTTAATATTTAAAATTTATATATTTCCTCCATATTGAAACAAATTCTTAACTAGTGAAATTGAATTTGGGGGGATATACTAGTACAAGGAGAGAAGGAAGAGCATAGGAGTTGTTACATTTCAATAAAGGACATGCAGGTAACCAACATCTGCAAAGATGTTTTGGATTATCAGTAATTCTGTAAACACCAGCCAATTTATTGTTTTTTTTAACTTGCAGATTGAGATATATTGCAACACAATTTGTGTTCTTATGCAAACTGTGTACATTTATCATAAACAGACAATATAGAAGTCTAAATGAACTCTGTGATGCCAGACCACCTGGGTTTAAGTCCTGGCTCTGCAAATAACAAGCTGTGTAACCTTAGGCACGATGCCCTGCCAAACCATATCAGTGTCGAGACAAATGGAAAAATGTGTATCCCCATACATACTTACCTAAATATCCTCTTTTATTTTGAACCACGTGGACAAAGTTAATACAAGCTCACTAAATGTATTCACTAAGAAGTTAATACAAGCTCACTAAATATGTTATAAAATATATTTTTTTAAAAAGGCACTACAGGGTACTTACTATGACTAGAGCTTGCAGGCCTGGAAGTTGTGGTTGAGTCAGTGAGTGAGTGTTGAGTGAATGTAAAGGCCTAGGACATGACTGTACACTACTGAAGACTTTATGAACACTGTACACTTAGGTTACACTAAATTTGTTTACATTTTTCTTTCTTCAATAATAAACTAAACTTAGCCTGCAGTAACTATTTTACATTATAAACTTTTCAAAGTTGTTTAACATTTTGACTTTTGTAATAACTAGCTTAAAACACAAATATTATACTGCAGTATAAAAATATTTTCTTCCTTTATGTACTTATTATAAAAGCTGTTTTGGTAATTTTTAATATTTTTATAACATTTTTGTCAAAAATTAGGATGCCAACATACACATTAGCATAGTCATACACAGGGTCATAATTATCAATATCATAATTTTCCACCTCCATACTGTGTCCCACTGAAAGGTCTTCAGAAGCAGTAATACTTATGGAGCTCATCTCCTATGACAACAGTGCCTTCTTCTAGAATACCTCCTGAAGGATAGCCTGAGGCTGTTTTATAACTAAATTTTTTTAGTAAATAGATGTATACTCTAACCTAATGATAAAAAGTGGAATATAGTAAATACATAAAGTGGTATTATAGCCACTATTATCAAATATGATATACTGTACATGACTGTATGTGCTGTACTTTTATGCAACTGGAAATGCAATAGATTTGTTTACATCCACATATATGGATATGGCCTCTCCAGGTTTCTGATTAAATCCCCAGTTCCTCTATCTGTTATTCTTGAACATAGTGTTCACTGCTGCTGTCACAGGTCCTGGACCAACAGCAAAATGTTTGGGGACTTGCTGTCTCCTTCCCTCCCCTTGCTCGCACCCACAATGGATGTGAAATGCCCTCTCATGTTAGTACCCTGCTTGCTTTTCCTCCTAGATGCTGAGGAAGTAGGTGGCCATCGAAAATGACTGTGTTCAACAGACAAGTGTTCTTGCTATTTCCACCACATCTGCAGTGACTTCCTCCACTGAAGTATTGAACCTTTTAAAGTCATCCATGAGGGTTGGAATCAACTTCTTCCAAACTCCTCATAGGAGTAATATTTTGACCTCCTCCCATAAATGACAGATTTTCTGAATGTCATCTAAAATGGCAATTTTTTTCCCAAAGGTTTTCAACTTCCTTTACCTAGATCCATCAGAGGAATCACTGTAGCAGTTACAGCTTTAATAAATGTATTTTAAAAATGATTCTTGAAAGTCAAAATTACTCCTTAACTGCGGGCTACAGAAGAGCTGTTGTGTTAGCATCTTTTTTTAATATATATTTTTAAAACAAAATCAACACTTCACTAATTAAAACATTTCATAACAGAAAGCAACTTGGAAAACAGAAATCTCAGCTCCAGGGCAAAAGCAAACACTTGAGGATGAAGGTGGGCCAGAATCAAAGGCCAAAAGCAGGTTAAGTGCTAGGTGGTAATGGAGTCATGGGGAGGGGAGACTTCAAAACTATGCAGAATGTTGGTTAATGGCTAGAACTTTGGGAGACCTCGCAGGTAACCACAGGGCAAGCAGTCCATTCACAAAGTGGGTACATGTTGATTCCTTCTGTGAGTCTTTGAGGATGCTTGCAGAAGGTCACAGCTCAGGCGGTGCTGGGGGATGAGCTGTGCTATTTCTGCCTGCTCTTCTTGGGGGAAAGGGCTTGGAGCATAAAACTCTGGCATCAAGGCACGCCTAAGGCTAGCAGGGCTAGGAGTGGAGACAGATCTCAGGCCCAAAAACTCAGGGGAAGAGGAAAAGGAACTCTGCCCAGGAATCTTGGTTGGGGAGGAGGAGGGACTTGTGCCAGGAGACCTACTTGAGGAGGGGGAGGAGGAGGGGGAGCTCTCATCCCACTGCTGAGGGATGGGAAGGAAGTACCTCCCAGGGGGTGAGGGTGAGGAGGCACGCATATGGACTGCATGCCAAACAGGTGGGGAAGGACTGCTTGGCACCTCAGGATCAGGAGGGCCTGAGCTGCTCTGAAAGGCAAGCCTTCGTAAGCCAGCCCCACAGGAAGGATTCTCATTAGCTGGCCCAGACAGAGAGAGGCGGCTGAGAAGGGCTGAACTTCGCCGGGTGGAATGGCTCCGGCTCCGGCTCTGGAGGCCAGTACCTGGCATCATGCTGGTGCTGCAACAAGCTGGGGTTGACCTTGCTGTGCGGCCGCGAAGGGTACGTCCTCGCGGAGGACTTGGCCCGGATGTGCGGCCTCAGAGGGCAGGGCCTGACCCGGAAGCAACTCTGAGGAAAGCGTGGCTGCAGTGATTAGGGCCTTGCGCAGATGCACAGCCTGGGGGAGCAGGGCTTGGCACAGGTGCACGGCCTCGGCGAGCAGGGTCAAGCACAGATGCATGGCCTTGGCGAGCAGGGTCTGGTGCAGATGTACGGCCTCCATGAGCAGCGTTTGGCGCAGATTCAGGGCTTAGGAGAGCAGGGTCTAGATGAATGGCACCTGGTGGAAAAACAAGGCCTGGCGGGGCGGTGCAGCGTCGGAAGACAGGGCCTGGGCCAGATGCACGTCTGTGGAGAGCAGAGGCTGGCAGGGCGATGTGGCTTTGGCTAGCAGGCTTTGCCTCAGAGGCAAGGCTTAGGAGTGCAGGGCCTGGCTGGGTTGCCTGACTCGAAGTAGAAGCCTGGGAACGGCGACGGCTACTGGGCTGGGACCCTGGAGAAGATGGCGGCAAAAGCCCAGGTAACAGACGCTGCCTTGGAGGCTTCTGAGCCCAGGCAGCCTGGTCGCGGCAGGGCTGCTTCCTACGACATTTGTTCCAGGGGCTCTTGGTCCCGGCGGGGTGCTCGTCAGCGTGGCCAATGGCCTTTGGGGGTGGCTCCACAGCAGCCCGGCTGCCCCCCTCAAGCACCTCACATCCAAGGTCTTCTTGAGGACTGCAGCAGGCCTGGAGGTCAGAATGCCTCTCCGCACGAACAGCCATGATGGGCAGCCCCGGGTTCTCATCGGTGGTGAAAATGGCGGCACCGGGGGTAGCTGCAGCAAAAGAACTGACTCTGCTGCTGCTCAGGGCGACGCCGCCCAAGGGAGACGCGTGGCTGGAGACCGTGGGAACGGAGGCAGCAGGATCTTGATTCCCAGTCCTGCCGGCATACCCTGAGGCAGGGGCGGCTTTGTTGTTTGGTCCTCCCAGTACCTTGTCCTCCTGGTGCTTCTGCTCCGTTTCCATGTTGGACTGGGTGACCGTAATGCCAAGTTCTCCCCTAGAAAGCAAGGAGCGCGGCTGTTACTCCTTGTACGTTTTCTGCATGGCCACCTACGGCGAGGGGGACCCCACCAACAGTGCCCAGGACTTCTACGATTGGTTCCAGGAAACGGACGTGGATCTCTCTGGGGTCAAGTTCGAGGTATTTGGTCTTGGGAACAAGACCTATGAGCACTTCAATGCCATGAGCAAGTACGTGGACAAGCGGCTGGAGCAGCTGGGCGCCCAGCACATCTTTGAGCTGGGCTTGGGCGACGACGATGGGAACTTGGAAGTGGACTTAATCCCCTGGCGAGAGCATTTCTGGCCAGCCGTGTGCGAGCACTTTGGGGTGGAAGCTACTGGTGAGGAATCCAGCATTCGCCAGTATGAGGTTGTGGTCCACAGTGACATAGACGCGGCCAAGGTGTACGTGGGGGAGACTGGCTGGCTGAAGAGCCACGGGAACCAGAAGACCCCCTTTGATGCCAAGAATCCGTTCCTGGCTGTAGTCACCACCAACCGGAAGCTGAACCGGGGAACCGAGCACCACCTCATGCACCTGGAATTGGTCATCTCGGACTCCAAAATCAGGTATGAATCTGTGCACCACATGGCCGTGTACATTTTTTTTTTTTTCTCACGAGGAAAATGATGATCCTCCCACCCCAGCCAAAATAATTCACACACACTTCAGGTGATCTCTGCTGGAAAGCAAGGCCTCTAGAGAGGATATCACTTTTAAGGTCTCATCAGTCAGTTGCACCTGAGAGTGAATAAGTTTATCAGATTCTTCCTGAGAACTGGTTTTTCAGAGAAAGGGTAAGTGGTTGCACATAAAAAGGCGCTTAGCTCCTGGCCAGAGCAGGCCAGGGAAGGGAGGGGAGAACAAAGCAGAGAGACGGGGCACGTGGAAGATACACGGCAGCTCCTTCCCAGTCTGGCCAAAGGGCCTCGATGGCTGGGCACAGGTCCCAGGGACCAAGATAGGTGGGCCCAGGCCTCGGTGATGGAGACATTATAGACACTCAGAGGCACTTGCTGCAAGCCAATGAGACAGGTGACTCCGGAGTTCTTGAAGACGCCCTGCCCCATTCTGGATGGGAACAGGAAGGAGCAGATGCTTCTGGCCAGGACATAGGCCCCATAGTGCTGATGTGCACCTGTGCTGTGTCCTGGGCAGAGGACTGCAGTGTAGTGACACAATCATAGCTCACTGCAACCTTGAACTCCTGGGTTCAAGTGATTTTCCTGCCCCAGTCTCCCTGTCAGCTGGGACTACATACGTGTACCACCATGCTTGCCTTTTTTTTTTTTTTTTTTTTTTTTTTTAAATAAGTCCTCACTATGTTGCCCAAGTTGTTCTCAAAATCCTGGCCTCAAGCAGTTTCCTCACCTCAGCCTCCCAAAACGTTGGGATTACAGGCATGAGACACCACACCTATCCTGGAGTAGCACTTTTACTTTCCAACAAGAATTTTCCCTTTGCATTCACAACTTGACTGCTTTGACAAGAAGCCTAACTTTCAGCCCATCCTGACTTTCAACATGCCTTCCTCACTAAGCTTAGTCATTTCTAGCTTTTGATTTAAAGTGACAGCCATGTGGCTCTTCCTTTCACTTGAACAGAGTCATTGTAGAGTTATTAATTGCCCCCCCTTTTTTAAAATTGTTGTTTTAATATTTGCTACTACCACCAAGATCTGCACCTGCCGTGGTTCTACTCAGGTCCATGTTCTATTAAGGGTCACTGCAGTGGCCCTTCTACTCATCTTGGTATAGCATCTTTAAGCTTGGGAGGCCTGGGCACTATTCCGCCCTTCCTGCTCTAGTCCCTCTATCAGCAATGGCTGCATATTGGCTCAACTTCTCAGCATCCATTTTCAGGGGCAGTGGAGTATTCAGATGAGTTGTTACACATTCCTTAGTGGATTCTGACTTCCATGGTCACTATACTTTTGTATAATCAACTATCTTAATTCAGTATTGTTGTGTCACAGGGAATAGGGAAACCTGAAGTTAAGGAAAGACATGGAGCAATCTAGTCTGTGAGCAATCAGAACACACACAACATTTATCAATTAAGTTTGCTGCCTTATATGGGCATGTTTTGTGGTGCCACAAAACTATTAAAATAGTAACATCAAAATCACTGATCACAAATCACCATAACAGATAAAATGGCAATGGAAGTTTAAAATATTATAAGAATTACCAAAATGCAAAGACCTATGAACTTGTTTGAGTCATGGTTGTCAAAAACCTTCAATTTGTTAAATATGCAATATGTGCATGGTGAAATAAAGCAAAGCACAATAAAAACAAATATGCCTGTATACACTATGTATATCCCCACATATAATATGCATCTATATATAATAAATGTACATATGTGTTATATACCTACAAATATACATGGTGAATATATATCCCTGAATTGCCAAATCTGTTTTCACATCATTGTGAACCCTCATAAACATGCCCAGCAGGGAGTCATGGTGGCTGTGTAGACCCAGAAACAGAGTTCATTAAAAACAACTGTTCCATTTGCAAATAATACTGGGTCATAAGACAAATAAATAATAACAACCTGCCCATATTTAAAATTTTGACATCTTCTCATGGATTTTTTTTTAATTTTTATTTTTAAAATTCATTGCATTAAATATTATTTACCTTGATTACTGAGTTTTTGGCACCTCTCCTAAAAAATTAACTCATTTATTTTAAAATTATTGTCATTGTATATATTTATGGGGTACAACATGATTTTTTCGTACATGTATACCTAATGGAATAGTTACATCAAAGCAAATAACATATTCTTCACCTTATAAACATCATTTCTGTGGTTAGAACATTTAAAATCTACTTTCTTAGCACTTTTCAAGTATGTAGCACATTATTATTAACTATAGTCACTCTGCTCTATAACAAAATAAATGTCCAGAACTTAATCATTTTGTTTAACTGAATCTTTGTGTATTTTGACCAATCCCTCTTTGCCCTCAGCCCCGGTAACCATATCCTACTCTTTTGAGTTCAACTTTTTCATATTCTACGTAAAAGTGAGATCATAGAGTATTTTTTTTTCTGTGCCTAGCTTATTTTACTTAGCATAATATCCTCCAGTTCCATCCATAGTATCTCAAATAGCAAGATTCAATTTGTTCTAATGCTGAATCTGTTCCATTTTTTGTACACATCCCATTTTCTTTATCCATTTTATCCATAAGGAGATACTTAGTTACTTGCCATATCTTGGCTATGAATTAATAATAATTTGCTGTTATAAATAATTCTGCAATGAACATGAGGCTGTATATACCTCTGTGACATAACTGATTTCATTTTCTTGGGATACATACCCAGAAGTGGAATTGCTAGATTATGTGGTAGTTCTATTTTTAATTTATGAGAAACCTCCATACTGCTTTTCATAATGGCTGAACTAATTTACATTCCCACAAACAGTGTGCAAGGGTTCCCCTTTCTCTACATCCTTGCCAATATTTTTGTATTTTAATAAATGCTTTTCTCACAGGTGTGAAGTGGTATCTCATTATGGTTTTAATTTGCATTCCCCTGATGATTAGTGATGTGGAACATTTTTTCATAAACCTATTGGCCTTTTGATTCTCTTCTTTTGAAAAATATTTATTCAGGTTCTGTGCCAATTTTTTAATCAGTTTGTTTTCTTGCTATTGAGTTATTTGAGTTCTTTATATATTTTTATATTAACCCTTTATCAGATATATGGTTGATATCATTAGAATATTTGTCCCCATCCAAATATCATATTGATATGTAGTCCCCAATGTTGGAGTTGGACCCTGGTGGCAGGTGTTTGGATCATTGGGCAGAATCTCTTATGAATGGCTTGGGCTATCCTTTTGGTGATAAGTGAGCTCTAGCTCTGAGTTCAGATGAGATCTAGTCATTTAAAAGTGTGCAACAGCTCCTGGCCACTCTTTTTCTCACTTGCTACTGCCTTTAGTTGTTCCTGCTCCTTTGCCTTCCACCATGATTGTATGCTTCCTGAGGCCTCCCCAGAGGCCAGCCAGATACCAGCACCAGACTTCCTATAAAGCTTGCAGAACTGTGAGCCAATTAAATCCCCTTTCTTTATAAATTACCCAGTCTCAGATATTTCTTTAGAGCAATGCAAACTAATACAATGGTTTACAAATACTTTCCCCTCTTATGCAGGTTATCTCATTAATAGGTTGTTGATTGTTTCCTTTGCTGCACAGAAGCTCTTTAGTTTGATATAATCCCATTGTTTTAATTTTCCTTTTGTTGTCTGTGCTTTTATGAACATATTCAATAAATCTTTGCCAAGACCAAAATCATGGAGATTTTCCTCTACATTTTTGTCTGGAATTTTTATAATTTTAGGTCTTACATTTTTTAATTGATTTTTTATATGGGGTGAGTTTCATCCTTTTGCATGTGGTTATCTAGTTTACCCACCACCATTTATTAAAGAGACTGTTCTTTCCCCATTGTATGTTGTTGGCACTTTATCAGAGATCAGTTGACCTTAGAATGTGGGTTTACTTCTGGGTTCTCAATTCTTTTCTATTTGTCTGTTTTTGTGCCACTACCATGTTGTTTTGATTATTATAGCTTTCTAGTTGATTTTGAGATCAGTTGGTGTGATATCTCCAGCTTTGTTTTTTTGGAAAACATTTTTGAGCATGGAGGGTCTTTTCTGGCTCCATAGAAATTTTAGAATTGCTCTTTCTATTTCTGCCCAAAAGTGATACTGGGACTTTTTTGGATTGCACTGAACTTAGAGGTCACTTTGGGTTTCATAAAAATTTTTGCACTAGATTTAAGTGCTTCACCTTCCTTACCTTCATCTTGGCCCTAATAAGTTATATACTGCTCTGTGCCTTCGTTTCTCCACCTAAAACTGCATCGTTTCTTATAAAGCACTTAGAACAGTATCTGCCGGCACACGTTAAGTACATAAAAGATGTTATTGTTATTATTATCATTGCCATTAACCTTTTTATCTTACATATACTATAGTTTTTAGAAAATATAATTTTTCTAAGTAA